AACTGGTAGGTAGGGGTAGGCACTGTCCATGAGCTGCTGGCAACCAGTGCTGGAGTCTGATGGCAGGAGCCATGTTGCACTCACAGCTGGGGTGGAGACCCTGGAGAAGTTGCACACACTTCCTGCTAAGGGCATGGCATTCCTCAGCCCAGGCACAGAGGGCTGCAGAGCACATTCTTTTTCAAAGAAAGGTGCACTTTGGAAATTTTCTGTAGGAAGCAAGAGGAAAATGGGAAGAGGGTGAGATGGAATCTGTGTGTCTTCCCTTGAAGATCTTTGTTATCTCCCATTTGTACAGTCTGGGAGAGTCTGAGACCCATTTTCTCTCACATATCCCACACAAATTGTTCAGAATGATTCTTGCTAAAGGATAGGATGGCACTCATTTAGTGAGCTGCCTGTTCTTCCTGTGCTGGCATGGACTTCCTAGTTGATCCATGTTGACTCTTGCTCTAACCTAGACAACAGCCTTCTTTGCCCTGCTTTGTCTTGTTCTGATTCCTGCTGTGGCACTGCCTCACACCTGTGTCCCAGAACAGAAGTGTTTAAAGTAGGAGAACCTTAGACAGCTTCTCATGCCTGTGCCTTTGTTCTGTTCTGTGCAGACTTTCCTCAATGTAGACAGAGAAAGAGTCTCTACCTAGATCTGTCTGGCCTTGAAATCACACAGACTGGCCTGTCTCTGCATCTGAGTGCTGGCATTGTAGGTTCCTTCCATGTCCACCAGGCTTGGTTCTACTCTGAGCTTTCTTAATGAAATGAAGGATCAGGACTTTCATAGATAAGAACTGTATTTAGCTAAGAATCCCTTGTCTTCTAGCTCCTTCTGTTCCCCACTACTTTTTATGTAAGTCACTACTTGTTATTTTTTAATATAAATTCAGCACACATCCAATATGACTACATGAATACAACCTGCTGATAATATTTCATGTTGACTGCCTATGTTTCAAGTGACAGTTTGGGATTTCTAATGTAGCATGGGGTTCATCTCTTAGTAAGATTGTTTCTTAATTAAAAGTTGGTTACATGGATTCTTCAATGAACACTTCCACAGTAATTGTTAATTTCTAGTAACTCTCCTAGTTGGGAATCTTTGTGAGAATCCGTGCACACACTGGTGTGTCAGTTCTTGTCCAGAGAACAGCTGACTGTGGAGTAGTCAGCCCATGTTGATAACATCCAAACCTACCAAAAGATGAGGAGAATGCTGTGGAAGATGGTCTGGATAGAGGGTAAGAGCCAGGGACTAGAGCTGGACATTGTTTTCTATATGTGACAGGAAACCTTTACCTAGACTAATCTCAACAGTGTGGCTGCCTAATAATGGGTTGGGAAATGATAATGTCTTGTGCCTTTTTATTTACTCTGTGGTTATCTGTAACATTAGTTCCAAACTACCTTTGTGTACATCAAGGGTCATATCTGCAGTTTGTCTTCTTTTAGGTCCATATTTTCCAGCCTCAGTAAGAACCAAATCTAAATGTGACATTCAATTCCAGATATCTCTATCAGCAT